ACCAAAATTATAATAAAAAATTCATTTAAAGAAGACAAAGAAAACAAAATTAAAAATGTTTTCAACACTAATTATATTTAAAAATATCAGTGTTTAACAGACAAAGGTATCGGTAAGGGGTTGGGGCCAAGGGTTTAGAGGGTATACCCCTTAAAAACTGTTGCCCAACTCCTTGACATCCCGTTTGTATAGAGTCCACGCGTGTCCCGAGTGGTTGTCATAGTTACGGCCACTGGAAAGACAACTCCCGGTTTTCACCCGATACCCGATGTCCATCAGTTTGTTGAGCACCCGTACCGGCGCGTCCTCTACACGGAATTTCCAATACCGGCCGTGAGGGTCGTATTGGGACTCACCCTAAATGAGCATGGTGGAGTTAGTACAGTATTAATGCATTTTACATACTTATTTTACATAGATAATATTGATTGCTAGGTACAGTAATTGTTAAACATTTAATTTTAGATTAACAGTATATTTAATAAAGTATTTTAAATATTTTTAGTTACAGTTAATTATTATATAGAGATTTAAATTGGTATATAAATTGTAATTAATATAAGATAATAAATTTTATGATAAAAAATTAGCAATTTCAACTTGATTAAACACGTTAAGAATAAATTTATTATTCATTTGTTATAATAACATTATTAATAAACCTGGTAGAATATGGTATCCTTGATGATAGTGAGGGGCAGTTTTTCATGGAGATAGGGGTCGACGCTGGACAGTCGTGTTGGCCCCCGATGAAAGTCCTCAGTAGATACCAATACGTACGACATTTTAATTAGCAATTAATTTAGTTTTTAATACAAAATAAATGAAATTTAAATTGTATTAAAAACAATATTGGTGAAAACTCTTTAGGATTACTATTATTGTTAGTAAAATCAATAACAATAATAATAATTACAACAAAACCGATCGAGGTTTCAATGGTTTTAAATAATACACAATAAAAACTTGTGGTAAAAACAAAACTATAGTTTAAAAACTTTTCTTCCAATCAATGTTTTCAATGTTAAGGACAGAAACACACTGTTTAGACAATAGCCGCGAATACAATGTTATATATCTGTATGAAAAATCTGCGGTTAAGTTATGTCTGATTTTTATCGTCAGGATTTTTGTTAGTTTGACTTAAATAAACTATAGTTAGTGTACAGTATATGAATATTGTGTATATATACGTGTAATTTATAGATTTATACGGTATATGAATGTATACATTCTGGTGAATATTCTGTGATATCCCTTCAATAACGGCACGCAATGTTTGACAACTGTTTTTAGCATATATTTTACACAATGATGAGCAGTGGGGGTCTAGCTATTAAATCACTGTTATATAAAACTTATATTGATAAAAATAAATACCCGATTGGATTGCCTCCGGATCTGGAGATTAGTATTAAGTATTGGTTTAACATTAAATTGAATTTAAAAAACTAAAATATATTTAATACAACAAAATCGTTGACCCAAACGCTAATCGAAATTAAATAATAATAATCATAAAATGTTTTATAATAAAAAAAATGCATACAAATTAGTAAGTGCATTTTTAATTGAGCAATTAATCTAGGCAATTAAATTGGTTAGGAATACATTTTACCAATCGCATTTTATTTATACATTTACTCTAAATATAGTTCACTATTAAACTAAAATACAACAAAAAATAATTATTTAAAAACTGATATAAATTGAGTTCACTATACGTTTGGCAAAGTCTTACTTAATCCTAATGTCAAAGCGTTAACATGTATTAACACAAATCATAACACATTATAAATATAAATGTTTAGTTAATCTCCGGATAATTACATAAACCAATGGATTTATATTGCGTTAAATCTCTACTCATAATAGCCATCGCTAGCAGTGTTTGCATCGGTTTCTCAATCAAAGGTATTTATATTCATAAATACTTTATAAATCTTTTTAAAAACTTTTAACTTTTAAATACTTTTAAAAACTTTTCTAATGTTTCTATGACAACATAAATTAAACTACCTAGGTTCGGACACAAAAATCAACCCAGGCAAACGGTGTCAACTGCAGGGCCAATATTGTGACGTAATGAATCCGGGTAAACAGTGTTGTCCGGGCACTAGCTGTGGGGTCAGGCGTAATGGCGATCACGTGTCCAATCTATGTGTGGTTTGCAAGGATTTGGGCCAACCCTGCGGTGGGACGGGTCCGGACGGTCAGGTCAGACAACACCAGTGCTGCTCAGGCCTGGCCTGTCAGCGGATCACCGAGTTTGCCAGCGTATGCAACCCCACCCGACACAAGTCAGCCCTGTATATACCGCCTAAGAGTTATGATACTAACAATTCAAATGATTATTGATTGAGTAATGATTGACTATTTGTTGGTTGTTTCGGAAGTAGACTGTATTATAAATTGAAAATAGACCCTGGTAATTTTTATTTGAAATTACATAGTATGTACGTAAACCAAATTAATTAACTAATCATTTGAATGCAAGTTTGATTGTTTAATAGATGTTTGTAATCTTTTTTTTATAAAACTTTAAATAAAATGATTTGCATCTGTTTTTTAAAATTTTTATTTAATTCAATTCGATTATTGTTTTAATAATTAATAATAATTGCCATTATAAAAGTGTGAAGTACATTATATAAAAATTGTTAATAAAATGAAAAATACAAATTGCTTAAAACATTATAGTAGTAATTAATGTAAGTAAAATAAATGTTACATAAAAATTACCATGATAAGCTCAAATAAAATAATAATAATGTGAATAAGATAAGAAACAATAAAAATGTAAAAATAAATTCCCAAAAAATACCAAAATTATAATAAAAAATTCATTTAAAGAAGACAAAGAAAACAAAATTAAAAATGTTTTCAACACTAATTATATTTAAAAATATCAGTGTTTAACAGACAAAGGTATCGGTAAGGGGTTGGGGCAGCGTGACCACCTCTAGGTTTAAAAATAGAGAACATTTGACCAAATTTCCTTTAAAATAGAGAACAAATAGAGAACACATATTTTACGTTAAATTTTCTTCTAAATTTAAAAATTGAGATTATTTAATACCAATGTTGAAGTAAAATTTATTGTGTTAGATGTATAAAAATGGCTATTATTAATCAAGAAAGTATTAATTCCTTTAACAAGTTTATTACTGTATTGATAAACAAATATTTAATAAATTTAGTAACATTCCTATGATTTATTTTAAATTTAAAATAGAGAACAGTTCTCTATTTTGTCCAAATACAGGTCCAAATAGAGAACTGTT